ATTAAAGATAACTTCTTGAAATTTTTCAATATTTGAAATTTGAAAAAAAAATAATATTTGAAGAATAATTCTTTTTAATTTCTGAAATCTGAAATGAGAAAAAATTGAACCCCCACAATTTCTTTTTATCCCCCCCCCCCCTTTTTCCCCCAAAAAATTCTTTCCCTCAAGATATGGTCATAATCTCAATTCAAATTTCCAATGGAGTTGGCAACCATAATTACCCATTTAATTTTACCATAGTGCTAACTTAATCTATTTTATAAAAGAATTAAAAATATAGTGTCAAATCTTTCATATAGATTTTTTTGTAAAATAAAATGATGCAACATTTGCAGATATTTTTACTGGTCTTCCTTTATAAATATGCATTTCTTTAAACATAATTTAAAAGCAGTGTAAGGGAAGTAACCAAAACGTTGTATTTGGATTACCTCCCTTACACTGTTTTAAATTATCTTTATTGTTCATTAACCATTACTTAATACATAATTTAAAAGCAGTGTAAGGGAGATAATTTCAATGATGTATTTGATTTATCTCCCTTACACTGCTTTAAATTATGTTTTGTACTAAAGTATTTTTCCATTAACTAGGACAACCTTGTTTTTCCCCCTTTTTTGCCCCTAATTCCTAAACGGTTTGAGCCATAACCCCCCAAAGCAAATCCTAACCATCCCTTTGTGGTATGGAAACTTGTAGTATAATTTCAGAGAGATCCATACACTGTTCCACAGTTATTGTCTGGAAACTAGAAAATGCTTATTTTTGGCCCCTAATTCCTTAACTGTTGGTACCATAACCCCCAAAATCAATCCCAACCTTCCTTTTGTGGTATTTAACCTTATGGTAAAATTTCAAAAAGATCCATTCACTTAAACTAAAGTTAGAGTGCGAAAACCAATGTGTATTCGGACGACGACGCAGGACGACGACGACGCCGGACGACGACGACGACGACGCCAACGTCATACCAATATACGACCACAAAAATTTTTTTGCGGTCGTATAAAAAAATTTAATTTTAGTTGAAATCAATCAAAAGTTTAATTTTGGACCCTTCAAACCTTAATATGGACTAATTTGAAAACAGGGCCCAAAATAAACAAGAGTGCACACACTGAAATGTCTCGCCTTCTTTACTAATCATTGATTTATGTGAATAGTCCCAAATATAAAGCTTTATTACGACTGTCACATAAACTTAACATTAACCAAGAAATCTAAACATTGACCAATGAACCATGAAAATGAGGTCAAGGTCAGATGAACCATGCCAGGCAGACATGTACAGCTAACAATTCGTCCATGAAACAAATATATTTGACCTATTGCTTATAGATTAAGAATAAAATGCTCCGCAGGGCGCAGCTTGATACGACCGCAGAGGTCGAACCCTGAACAGTTGGGGCAAGTATGGACACAACATTCAAGCTTGATACAGCTCTGAATTTGGATTGTGATTAAATATTTGACACAGCATAGGTTTCTGACACAGAATGAATGTGGTCTAAGAACTTAAAAATTTTAAATTGGACATTCAACTATAACGGTCCAATATCCAAAATCTGAATCAGCATATCAAAGAACCCCAAGAATTCAATTTTTGATGAAATCAAACAAAATTTAATTGTGGACCCTTTAGACCTCAATGTGGACAAAGTTGATAATGGGGCCCAAAAATCAAAAATCTAAATACATGGTTAGATTCAGCATATCAAAGAACCCCATATATATAATTTTTGTTGAAATCAAACAAAGTTTAATTTTGGACCCCAACTTGGACAAACTTGAAAACTGGGCCCATAATCAAAAATCTAAACACATGTTTAGATTCAGCATATCAAAGAACCCCAAGAATTCAATTTTTGTTAAAATCAAACTAAGTTTAATTTTGGACCCTTTGGACCTTAATGTAAACCAATTTGAAAACTGGACCCAAAATTAAAAATCTAAATACACGGTTAGATTCGGCATGATAAATAAATAAATGTGGTCAAAGATTTTACAAATCTAATGCGCCATACTGTGCAATTAAAGATTACTTCTTGAAATTTTTCAATATTTGAAATTTGAAAAAAAAATAATATTTGAAGAATAATTCTTTTTAATTTCTGAAATCTGAAATGAGAAAAAATTGACCCCCCACAATTTCTTTTTACCCTCCCCCCCCCCCCCCTTTTTCCCCAAAAAAAATCTTTCCCTCAAGATATAGACATAATCTCAATTCAAATTTCCAATGGAGTTTGCAACCATAATTACCCATTTAAATTTACCATAGTGCTAACTTAATATATTTTATAATAGAATTTAAAATATAGTGTCAAATCTTTCATATGGATTTTTTTGTAAAAAAAAAAGATGCAACATTTGCAGATATTTTTACTGGTCTTCCTTTATAAATATGCATTTCTTTAAACATAATTTAAAAGCAGTGTAAGGGAAGTAACCAAAACGTTGTATTTGGATTACCTCCCTTACACTGTTTTAAATTATCTTAATTGTTCATTAACCATTACTTTATACATAATTTAAAAGTAGTGTAAGGGAGATAATTTCAATGATGTATTTGATTTATCTCCCTTACACTGCTTTAAATTTTGTTTTGTACTAAAGTATTTGTCCATTAACCAGGACAACCTTGTTTTCCCCCTTTTTGGCCCCTAATTCCTAAACGGTTTGAGCCATAACCCCCCAAAGCAAATCCTAACCATCCCTTTGTGGTATGGCAACTTGTAGTATAATTTCAGAGAGATCCATACACCGTTCCACAGTTATTGTCTGGAAACTAGAAAACGCTTATTTTTGGCCCCTAATTCCTTAACTGTTGGTACCATAACCCCCAAAATCAATCCCCACCTTCCTTTTGTGGTATTGAACCTTATGGTAAAATTTCAAAGAGATCCATTCACTTAAACTAAAGTTAGAGTGCGAAAACCAATGTGTCTTCGGACGACGACGACGCCGGACGACGCCAAACGTCATACCAATATACGACCGCAAAATTTTTGCGGTCGTATAAAAAAAGATTATTATCTAATTAAAGGATTTCTCTTCATAATTTTTATATATATATATATATATATATAAAGCATTCAGAAAATTAGTTTATACTAAATAACAAACAAACCTGCCAAAAAATTCTTCAAATAATTTAACAAAGAATGTCTTTTAAAAAATAAGTTATCTCCCTTTGTACAGAAATATGGTTTAACGTAGTACTCTAACATTAGATATGGTCCATAACTCTGGACTAAATCATCAGACCGGAACAACATTAGAACTTGATCTATAACTTGTCATGATAAAACTATATACCAAATATCAAATCAATATCTTCAAGAAGGAAGAAAAAAAGTGTGGAAAGCTGATTTGCTGGACTGACGGATGGACAGACTGACAGACAGACGGAGTGCAATCCTAAAGTCCCCTTTGACTTCGTCGGTAGGGGATTAATAAGTATTTCATCAAAAATTTAATTCTAGAGAAAGTTAGAAAATTAGTTAATTCCCTTTGAACAGAAATCTAGTAATTAATAAGTATTTCATCAAAAATTTAATTCTAGGGAAAGGGCTTTAACTGAACAAGGAGAAAAGTTAAAATCGTGAAAATCGAACTTGACCTTTAACTTATGATAAAATAATACACCAAATATCAAATCAATATCTTCAAGCATGAAGAAAAAAAGTCTTGAAAACTGATTTGCCGGACTGACTGATGGACAGACAGACGGACAGACAGACGACAGAGTGCTAACCTAAAGTCCCCTTCGACTTCGTCGGTAGGGGACTAATTAGATCACTAACACATCATTAAAATATTTATATCATTTACGTTTCTATATTAACATGATATACTGAAGAAAATAACAACTATAAGGTATATAAATAATAATAAAATAATGGGTACGCGTTGGTAAAAGTACCAGTTGGTAATAATAGGGTGCGAGTTGGCTGAGGACTATTCAGCGAAGGTACGAGTTGACATGTATCCATTAATATTATATATATATGTAAAGCTACAATAAAACATTGTAAAACAAAATCACTTAGTCTAGTGATTTATTTGTACTACTTAAATAGGTGATTATCAAAGAAAGACTACTCATACTTGCAACATTTCTGGACAAAATGTTACTTCAATAATTAATAAAAGATTTGTAAAAGACATTTTATTTTCTATGTGCCAACCCTTGGCAAATGCTTGGTGTAAACTGGAAGTCTCGTCATAAAAGGACCCCACTGGAAATAAGTTTTAATAACTTTTGTGGGTCATCCTAAGATATGAGGCTACAGTGAAAATCTAGTCAATTTAAATTTCACTCATTAATCTAGTCTATTCATATTATCAAAATATCATGCCTTTTATCTTGAATAAATATATATATATATATATATAAGAAATCACTCATTTAAGTATATTTCCCCTGACTGCATGATACTGTTTATTTTCTGAAAGTGAAAAAGTAAATTCCAGAAATTCTTGAGCCAAGTCCATGTTTTTATAAATGTTGATGTGTTACTTACAATAAAGACTCACACTCTTTATGTTCTTTGTTACAGAATCTTTTAGGTTTTACTGAAATAATAAACGTGAGTCAACAAAAACACGTGTCTTGTAACCTTTTCGCAAAAAAATATAATTTCAGTAGGCCTACCAAAAAATCTGAACGACAGTGTGATGTGAATGCAACATTCTTAGTTAATTCAACGAAATAAATAACAACTGGTTTCAAAGTACATCAAGTAACCTTTTGATCTAAGATTCCATACAACTGTGACAAACAAAATACCTGATACGTAAAATATTATTTCGACTGGTTTCCAATATTTTGTAGTGGGCTTGCCGCTAACATGCAAAAAGCTGGGAATAGTATACTAAATATATTATGTACCAGGCAAAAAGTATAGAGTGAAAGTATAAGTATATTGGTATTCAATTGTTAATGTTATCATTAATTGATTTTACGGCGTTACTCTGTTCAAATATTTGTCACTCACATTTCGAGCGGTCAAACTTTCTGTGGGAGAAAATTTCTAAACAAGGAACCAGATTTAATTTATTCGAAGAGTTGTAAGAAGGGGGATAACAATTCACAACACGTTTTCTACTTTCATTTTCCTGATTTGAAATGGAAGAAACAAGAACATTGCTATATTCCGAGTTTAAACAGACTTTGTCATCTTTGAATATAACAGTCTTTGACAACAGGTATATATAGTCTCGGAACTGAAATAAAGCAACTAAATTTTTTGAAAAAAATAATTTGTTTCAGATCTAGATCATATCCTCGTGTATCCTACCGTAGTCTATAATCGGTCATAATGTTGGTTCGTTCGGATTTTGTTATTGTACTTATCACACGGGAAAACTCCGCATTGACGTCACTACGCTAATACCAGCGTACAAAATTAGTACAGAATACATTTTTTCTACTCTTCTAAATAAACAAACATTTCTAAAGATATGTTTTCATTGTTATTCTAAAGAATTGTACAAAAATGCCAATTTTCTAATGGCCGTTTCAAACCTGACTTCCGAATGCCTAAAAACATTCCAGAACTTCAGAAATCCCCTCTTCTGGCCTCCATTGCTTTGTTTACATTCCATTAAGCGTCATCAATCTTAATGGCAGACCAAACAGGCCAAGCAAATCGTATTTTCAAGAATTTCAAAATGGCAAGCACCTTACGTCTTAATCGATTTTCCCGCAAAAAAAACCCATCCAAAATGAAAGAAAAACTTTGGGAAACAAACGATAATCATGCCATATTTTTGGTCAGGAATATAGAGTAGGTTAATAAAAAAACAATATACATATATTTTTCATTAAAAAAAAAATTGGTTCAATATAAAGAGATCGATATTCTGACCATAAGTAAATATTCATATAAAATTCCATTGATATCAAATTTCATGGCTAATAATGAGGTTTCCTATTGAATAAACCCCCAATTTATTGCAAACTATTTCAAAGCAATATCATACAAACAAATTATATAATTGCCTTGTACTAAAAAATCACCTAATTGACAGTAGAGCAATTTGATTGGATATAACGATTCAATGTGTCACGTGGTTTTGAAGCCATTAGAATTTGAATGTAAACAAACCGGGTCAGCTGCTGCAGTATGGAACAACATCGTACATTCAGTGACTGAGAAACAATAATGAGTAACCAAGCTTGACAATACACAGTAATAAAAAATCAAAGCTAAGTCTACAGAAAAATAAAATAAAAAATGGCCTTAAGTGCACGACTTACCACCATTGCGGGATATACACCTTATCGCTATAATTTTGTCCGCCATTACTGGACATCACAAAAGTTCCCGTAAAATGTTGACGTCATAATAGAAAATATCTGACGCCACAATGGAAAAGTTATTGTTATATGACGTCAAAAGACTAAAAGACAGATTCTCGGGTCAAGCGGGAATAGCGATAAGGTGTATTGTATTTTCGACCTACTAACATATTTCTCCGAATTTCCCTTTTATATGTTTGAACATAGACATGCCTAATATTTTGAGAGTCACTAGTATACTTGTGCATAAAATAATTGTATCTGAAATATATTTCGATCTTAAATTTTTTTTTTATTTGAGTTCATTAGATCGATGGCACGTTTGTTGACAAAAACTAGCATCTTGTGTTTTCGACCTATCTAAGAAACTGGTCCAAAGTCGGAAATGACATGTCGTACAAATCCGGAATTGGTTAAAATTTGATGCCAATGTCTATATCAAATTATTTAAATTGTTAGGAGGCGATCAAACTTATGACTTAATGAATTAAATTGTTTTTTTAGTAAAAAGCTGTAAGGATCATGCAGATTTCCGTATTAAAAATAACTTTAAGTATTACAACTAACCACCTGACAGTCATGTGACTTAATGACCAGCGACTCTTTTCACAAAAAATCTTACGATTAAAATTGATCGTAAGTTATACTGAAAAGTGTATGACTTATGAGTATTTTTACTCTTAAGATTTTTTGTGAAAAGAGTCGCTGGATGTAAACTTTACGTGCAAAAAGTCCCCCTGCCATATTTCTAGAATATTTGTTTATTTTTTATAGATTCTTTTTGAAGGTAAAAATGGTATTAGTAAAAGGGTACACAAATGTGATATCAAATAATAAAACGTAAATACTTAATTACATTAACTTTACTTGGAACATCTTAACCACCACGTGGTATTATTGCGTGAACCCTCAACCCTTGAGGGTTCACGCATATTTATTAGTTAGAAATATAGTCTATGGAGGAATATTCGGAAGCTAAATTATTGTTCATTCGGAACACCTATTCATCTTATCTGTATTAGCTTCCTGCAATTAAGAGCACCTCCATACGGTGTATCTAAGATATTTAAAACATGGCAATAAAGAATTTTCACAGATCTCTAATTCACTTGTCTGATATATGATAATAAACAATCTATAGATCCTTTTCAAACATGTATATTTATTGTAAACCTACATTTTATGCATTGCAAGGGTTTACTGACTTGAGCAAATTTGACAGTTGTACCCTTTGATAAACAAGTGAAAGTTAAATGGTCAAGATTTAATTATAACGACCTATGGTATCAAACATTTAACATCTGTGTGTAGATATTCACAGAGAGATATTTCAAAATAGTGCTGTGGTTTCTACATAATGAGTTATAGTGGGCTTTTTGATTTGATTTGTAACAATAAAATCATTATGCACACTTGTCATTTTGACAGATCAGATAAAAAAAATTCTGTTTCAAATGAAAATAAAACAAGTAAAATAAAGACTGTTCGTTAATATACATTTTTACAACTTTTACTGTTTCCTTTTTACAGTATTCTCTATCAATTAAGTTATCTTGTAAGTTAATTAAATGTTTATTTAATTCATTGATGTCACTATTATTTCAGTGACCGCTGCAGAAAGTCTTGACTCGTTCAAGAGACTACTGCATGCACATTAAATTTCAAGTCCCATGTTTTTATTTGCACCATGTATAAATGTTATGTACAGCACAAATTATTTCCTTTCTGTTAAAATTATTTTTGGACTTGTTAAGTATGCAAGCGCACACCAAACAGTGACAGGATAGTCAACCAAATGTGGATGTGCACTAGTGATTGGTAAATATTGATACGTTTCTGTGTTTTTAATATATGTGACTTAACATTAAGAATTCCATTATTATGGAATCGTTCACTTTTGTACACTTCGGTATCTAAATAGAGGGTGGTAAAAGGGAGGGTCTGAACACGGAAACACGTGAAATAACAAATCGCAAAAACGTTGCATGGAAAAAAAACACTCTGGAAAAACGAAGCCAAGGAATACAATCGTAAATATTAAGGAAAAAAGTACCAAAAGTTATTACTCAGCCGTTTTTGGAGATCATGTGGTCACCTTTTAGCGTCTGTTAGTTGCATCGGATTTAACATAGTAATACAATAGGCTATTAATAAATATCTTGGGACCAGTTAATTAGTTTATAATTTAAAACAGTATTTGGGCTGACTTTGAATTAGTCCCTGTTTACTTTTTAATCAAATGCTGGACAAGCATGAGAAAATAAGAGTACCGACACGAAACACGGAAAATAATTAAGGGAAAACACGAAGCACGCACATTAACCAAACATGAGAAAACAAGGAATAAAACGTCGAAACACGGAAACACGTGAAAAAAAGACCGAAAACGTTGCTCGAAAATAACCCTTTACCACCCTCTAAATAGGCCATACTAGATGTCGACACCTCATATTAGAACTTAAGTAGATGGTCAATTCTGTTTGCAAGGTTAAAGAAATCTTCAACTTGCTCTAATTTGCCTGTGAAGACCATAAAACCGTCATCCCTATTGACAGTGTAATTTGATGTTTTCTCTCCATTGGAACTTATCTAAGATTTGAATGAATAGGGCAGACAGATGCAGATCTGTGCATGTTGGTGACAATGGGTGCTCCTATAATGTGTTTAACAGTCCAAAACTCAAATTCATTGTTTCTAAGAATTAATTTAACAAATTCAGTTAAATCTATTTTGTTGAGAATATTTAAAGTATATTCTCCTGTGTGTCATTAATTTCTAATGCATTGAACAGTTTCTTCTAAATTATCAATGATCATGTTTGTGTACATTGACGTACATCATAGGCAATAAGAACGTATACTTTTTTACCTCGTGTGACTCTATTTTATTAATGATTTTTATTGTATCTTGAATGTAAAAGTTATGCCTCTTCAATAATTGGATGTTGGATGTGCACTAATTGATAATTTAGTCTTAGATGCATGATTTTTTTAATTAGTTGTTAGTGGCTTTGAACTAGCTGTCAGTAACTGTGAGTACTCTCAGATCTGTACTTAGTGTCTATTTGTTGTTGGGATATACAAGTACCCGGCCACGTCCACTCTGTGTAGTATTTCTGTTTGTATCCATCTGATGAGTTAAGCCTTTTTCAACTGATTTTTATACGACTGCAAAAAAAATTTGCGATCGTATATTACTATGACGTTGGCGTCATCGTCGACGTCGTCGTCGTCGTCATCCAAAGACACAGTGGTTTTTGCACTCTAACTTTAGTTTAAGTGAATGGATCTCTATGAAATTTTACCATAAGGTTCAATACCACAAAAGGAAGGTGTGGATTGATTTTGGGGGTTATGGTACCAACAGTAAAGGATTTAGGGACCAAAAAGGGGCCAAAAATAAGCATTTTTGTAACTTCCAGACATAACTTGTGTGTTAGTGTATGGATATCTCTGACATTGTACCACAAGGTTCCATATCACAAAGGGAATGCTGGGATTGATTTTGGGGGTAATTGCCTCAAAATTTTAGGAATTAGGGGCCAAAAAAGGGGCAAAAAACAAGCATTTTTATATGGACAAATACTTTAGTACAAAACATAATTTAAAGCAGTGTAAGGGAGATAAATCAAATACATCATTTGAATTACCTCCCTTACACTGCTTTTAAATTATGTATAAAGTAATGGTTAATGAACAATTAAGACAATTTAAAACAGTGTAAGGGAGGTAATCCACATACAACGTTTTGATTACTTCCCTTACACTGCTTTTAAATTATGTTTAAAGAAATGCTTATTTATAAAGGAAGACCAGTAAAAATATCTGCAAATGTTGCATCTTTTTTTTTTTTACAAAAAAATCCATAAAAAGAAATTGTGGGGGGTCAATTTTTTCTCATTTCA